ACAAAATTTGCCCTGGAAAATTCGTTTCTCGAAAATCGCCGATTCCTGTAAAAAATTACCCTTAGAAATCTCCTGAAAATTCGCTAGGAAAAATCGCCCTCATAAAAAAAGGTTCGTAAAAATCTACCTTCGCTAGAATACGTGCGTGAATAATTCCAGAAAATTTGATGCGCTCTAAAAATCGCCCCTGGAATATTTTACCGCTAAAGACTTGTCCACCGAAAAAAATATACGAGACAAATTCGCTATGAAAAAATCGCCTTTTTAAAATGCTTCCGTGCAAGATTCAACCCGTAAATTCATACGGGGAATATTCGCCTCTACTACGAATTTTCCTCCCGTAACATTTGGGTGAAAATTTCACCCCCAACAATTTTCGGGAGGGTTCTTCCTGGAAAACTTCTTTCCTAAAAAATTCGCCTACCGAATAAAATCGTCCTTGGAATATTTGTCTTCCAAAAACTACAAGGAAAATTGTCCTGGGAAAATTCGCTATGGAAAATTTCTCTTCCGAAAAATTTACCTACGGAAAATCTAGGCTCCCAAAACTGCCCTTGAAACATTCGTCCAGAAAAGGAAATTCGTCTACAGAAAATGTTGAAAAAATCATCTTTCGAATATTTGGTCCCCAAACAATCGTCAAAGAAAAATTTGCGTTGGACGTTTATGCCCTGGAATGCTCTCTTAAAAAACTCGCCGCGGAAACTTGCGTGGAAAACTTGTTTCCAGAAACGTAAAAAAATCACGCTTGAAATATTTCACCCACAAAAATTGTCCCCTCAAAATTCGCCTTGGGAATATTAGTCGTGGAAACATTCATTTCTAGAAAATTCGCATACGGAAAATTTAGCCTCCAAAAAAATAGGCCTTGGAATATTTGGCACTTAAAATCTCGTCTCCGAAAAATTCGCCCCGGGGAAATTCTCTATGGAAAAATTCTCGTCTTGAAAATTTAAGATTGATAAAATTGCTCTTGCAAATTTTTTCCCTGGGATACTTGTGTAAAAAATTTGACCCCAGAAAAAATCAGCCGTTGAAATATTTTACTCGCAAATTCTAGTCCTGGTAAAAATTTGCCTTGGAAAAATTCTAGATTGAAACAACTTTGAATGTTTGGTGTATACCCCTCTGTGTTAATTTGAACTAACGTGAATTAATTAGAATTAACGAAAATTAATGTCAATTAACATGATTCAATTTGAATTAATTAAATTAATTTGAATTAATCTGAATAAATTTGAATTTATGTGAATTAACTTGAGTAAACGTGAATTAACATGAATTTAAGTGAATTATTTTGAATTAACGTGAATTAATTTGAATTATCGTGAATTAATTTGAATTAGCAGGAATTAAGATGAATTTTCGTAAATTAATTTGAATTTGAATGTTTGGTGTACACCAAAAATGGTACTTGTTCCCCTCAAGACAAATTCGTTTTAAAAAATCATCGATTCCTGAAAAAATTGCCCTTATAAATCCCCAGAAAATTCGCTTAAGAAAATTTGGTTGCGCTTAAAAAATCGCCCTTGGAATGTTTCATCCCTAAAGGCTTGTTCCCGGAAAAGTTTCTCACTGGAGATATTCGCTATAGAAAAATTCTCATCCTGAAAATGTAGCCTCGAAAAAATCACTTTAAGGACTTGTTCCCGGAAAATGTAGGCTTGAAAAAATCGCCTTGGGGATATGCGCACCGGAAAATTCTTTCCTGGAACAACAAATTTTTGTCCTGGAAATTTAGCCACGAAAAAATCGCCCTTGGAATATTTGACATTAAAAACACGTCTCGCCCTGGAAAAATTCGCTATGGAAAAATTCTTGTCCTGAAAATTTAAACACGAAAAAATCGTTCTTGGAAAACTTTTCCCTGAAATACTTGCGTGAAAAATTTGCCTCCAGAAAATTAGTCTCGAAAAAATCTCTGTTGGAATATTTGACCCACTAACACTCGTCCTGTAAAAATTTGCCCTGGAAAATTCGTTTTTCGCAAATCGCCGATTCCTGTAAAAAATTGCCCTTAGAAATCTCCTGAAAATTCGCTAGGAAAAATCACTCTCATAAAAAAAGCTCGTAAAAATCTACCTTCGCTAGAATACTTGCGTGAATAATTCCAGAAAATTTGATGCGCTCTAAAAATCGCCCCTGGAATATTTTACCCCTAAAGACTTGTCCTCCGAAAAAAATATACGAGACAAATTCTCTCTGAAAAAATCTTTTTAAAATGCTTCCGTGCAAGATTCAACCCGTAAATTCATTCAGGGCATAATCGCCTCTAAGAATTTTCCTCCCGTAATATTTGCGTGAAAATTTCACCCCCAACAATTTTCGGGAGGGTTCTTCCTGGAAAACTTCTTTCCTAAAAAAGTCGCCTACCGAATAAAGTCGTCCTTGGAATATTTGACTCCCAAAAACTACAAGGAAAATTGTTCTGGGAAAATTCGCTATGGAAAATTCTCTTCCGAAAAATTTACCTACGGAAAATCTAGGCTCCCAAAACTGCCCTTGAAACATTCGTCCAGAAAAGGAAATTCGTCTACAGAAATCATCTTTCGAATATTTGGTCCCCAAAAAATCGTCAAAGAAAAATTTGCGTTGGAAGTTTATGCCCTGGAATGCTCGCTTAAAAAACTCGCCCCGGAAACTTGCGTGAAAAACTTGTTTCCAGAAACGTAAAAAAATCACCCTTGAAATATTTGACTCACAAAAATTGTCCCCTCAAAATTCGCCTTGGGAATATTTGTCGTGGAAAAATTCATTTCCAGAAAATTCGCATACGGAAAATTTAGCCTCCAACAAAATAGGCCTTGGAATATTTGGCACTTAAAATCTCGTCTTCGAAAAATTCGCCCCGGGGAAATTCTCTATGGAAAAATTCTCGTCTTGAAAATTTAAGATTGGAAAAATGGCTCTTGGGAAATTTTTCTCTGGTATACTTGTGTAAAAAATTTGTCCCCAGAAAAAATCCGCCGTTGAAATGTTTTACTCGCAAACTGTAGTACTGGTAAAAATTTGCCTTGGATAAATTCCAGATGGAAACAACTTTGAATGTTTGGTGTACTAACACCCCTCTGTGTTAATTTGAACTAACGTGAATTAATTAGAATTAACGTGAATTAATCAGAATTAACGAGAATTAATGTCAATTAACATGATTCAATTTGAATTAACGTAAATTAATTTGAATTGACCTGAATAAATTTGAATTTACGTGCGTGAGTTAACTTGAATAAACGTGAATTAACATGAATTTAGGTGAATTATTTTGAATTTGAATTTTTGGTGTACACCAAAAATGGTACTTGTTTCCCCCTAGCCATACTTCAAATAGACCAAATAAGGTCATCTAAGGCTGCGTCTACGACTCATAAATCCGGCTATCCCGTCTAGGGAGATCACGCGTCTTTCTTATTTATGCCGAACTCGCCTTCGGCTCGCTCGGCATTCGTCGACACAATTTTTAAAGGCCATACTTCTATTAGACCAAATAAGGTCATCTATGACTGTATCTACGAATGCTGAGCGAGCCGAAGGCGAGTTCGGCATAAATCCGTCAGAGAAATTGTTGCTATAATTCTAGATCACGTGTCTTTTTTATTTATGCCGCACTCGCCTTCGGTTCGCTCGGTATTTGGAGACGGCGTCTTAGAGTTGTATAATCCCAGCAGAACAAATAGCATCTACTTCTAAGTATTCTCAATTAATTAATAATAGCCTGGAGCACTCGAAGATGCTCTATAGCTGTTTAGGCCTTTTACGGAACTTTTCTGACTGTTCTAGACCTTTCGAGGCTTGTATAGGCTATGATATTCTATAAAACTCTTGAAAGGACCTTAAAGGTGTCCAAAGGCATATGGAATTTTTGGAAAAAATCTCCGAAAAGTGCTAGAAAGCTTTGGAAGCGCGTCACTGAGATTTACAGATTTTACAAATCTACGTGTCTAACGTAATTCCCATCTGTGCCACAGAAGAAAAATTCAACCTCAACCCAGGTTCGAACACGCGACCTCCGGATTTATAGCCCAACGTTCTACCATTGAACCACAAAGTCGGTTTCCATAGACCTTTGAACCTTTTCCGGAACATTCCAGAACTTCCCGAGCGTGTCTAGAGCTAGAGCTGCTAGTTCTAGAAAGTACCTACAACGCTTGGAAAAGGGACCTAGGGTGTGCTGGTAATAATGCGAAAGGTTTGGAACGGAGGCGTTGACAAGCTTCGGAAACTTGGAAACTACCTCGCACAGCCTTCGGTCGCTTTCCAAAGTGATCTTCAGAGCATTCAAAGGCTCTCTCAGAGACCTTTTTAGAGGTCATTTTCAAAAACATTGTTTGAAGCTTCACTTCTGATAAACACAATGTGCTCTAATTGACGTTCGTGAGAAGCTTCTTCAAGGTCCTGGATTTTGCAATGCACTTATTTCAAAGCAACGCTTGGCATAGATCCGTTCCGGGAGAACGACTCTCGTCCCAGATTCGCACGTCGACCTTGGCCCTTGCTCCTCAAAAGTCGCACTTTGCGTACGGCGAACCGACCGTTCGACTTCTCCCACGAAACCGTCGTCGCCGAATTGGGGGGGTTTTCTTCGCGTCCGAACTTCGGGGATTAACACGCTTTCGATGACCGGTCTTATCGAGTAGGTCAGCGGTGCGAGGTTAGTCAACACTTTTTCGCCTGGACTGATAAATGTCTTGGAGACGTTTCGCGTAGTGCGTCACCGACGACGGGTCGACGAAGAGCATGGGCCATCGCGACTCCGGCGTCATCGAGGGAACCGAGTGTCGAGGTAGGTTTTGCGGTTTTGAGCCTTTGTACTCGCTGATTATCTCTTACGTAACCGATATCGAGTGTTTGCGTCGAATTTATTTTGGTATTTTATCGCTTGTTTTGGTCACCTTTTTCGCGGAGAAATTGGGCGAAACGACGGATTGCGTTACGATACCCTCGGCGCGAAGACGCTGCGACGTTAAGCGTCCCAAATTAATTGTAAGTATTTAACTTTTCAGATCGAATTGTTGAAATTGAAATACGCCGAAGATATCAATCAGTGTGTAGTGGAAAAATACGGTGTGGTGTTGAGAGAAAGGGTACAAAACTTCTGAGTGTAATTTTGGTACTTAAAGCAAGGAGGAGGAGAGTTTGTTTTAACGTTTAATAATAATTTAGTTTCTTACACGTAAAACCAGTGAGTAATTGCGTTAGTGACAATGAGTAATCAACCGCGGAGAGGTTACTTCCATTTTTCCTTTCAGAGGAATAAAAATTGCGACCAGAACAATTCGGAGCAGCAGGCGGGCCTTTTAAAAGGTTAATTTCTCATTATTGTACCATTTCATTCGCACCTTGCAAACAAGTTTACCTGGCGAGTGAGAACACTCACCAAATTCCCTACAATTAGTAATAGATCGAAAAACGCAATAAACATCCGTAAACAAGCCGATTAATTCAAAGGTCTTGATCGAGGCCAAAAAAATCCGCTACGACTCGGACCATAGTCTTCGATGAATTAAAATTGCATTGCGCAATTGAAATCCTTTGGGAAGTTCTCGCACAAGAAAAAAACGGGAAAAATAATTGTAAAAAGCGAACCCGTGACCCCACCTCCACTCCCGCCCCTTCCCTTCAGGTGTATCTACATGTTTTTTTTTTAAATATTCTGGCACAAAGACAGTAAACTTCTTGAGAAATTAAGAATATGTTAAAAAGTAAGAACCCTCCCCCCATCCCCGCCCCTTCCCCTCGGGTTTCCCCTACATTGTTTTTTTAAATATTCTGGCACAAAGGCAGTAACGTTCTTGAGAAATTAAGAATAAGTCAAAAAGTAAGTGTACGCCCCCCCCCCCCCTATCAACATAGTTTTCGTGATCTATCGAATGAAAATACTATCATGATCGTTTCACTTCCGGTTTTACGCGCAACTACCGCTACACCAAAAACCACCACCAAAAAAAAACGTTTAACGTCCGCCACCAACAAAAAAATCCATTTTGACGTTTGACCGCCAACATTTTCAAAAATCATGAATAACTTCAAAATCTTCGATGCTGGGTATAGGGAAATGCGGTATCGAACCCCCTAGATTTTCATGTAGATTTCGAAAATGCAACGAAATAGAGGGTAGTCCTTTGAAGATATGGAAGCAGTCCACATCCGGTAAAACCGGAAGTGCAACGATCATGATAGAACCTGAAGACTTTCAGGTGAACGGTTTACGTGAAACAGCCAGCATAAATGAACCTGAATCTATGTCAACTTTATTTGGTTGAAGGTACTATAAGTAAAATCGGTGCCAAACCATTCACATACCGAACTGCCATCGTGCCGTGGAGCTTCATTTTGAAGAACTGGGCCTATTTTGTGCCGAACTCGCCTTCGGCTCGCTCGGCAATTACCTTTTTTTTTTGTTCGGAGGTACATTTCAGTTAAATGACTATCAAACCATTCAATGCGTAGCGAGCTCGACACAAATCGAACTACTGTAGTGCTGTCAAGCTTCAGTTTGAAGAACTGAGCCTATTTTGTGCCGCATTCGCCTGTGACTTTTGAGGTAGATTCAAGTTAAGCGAGTACCAAACCAACAAATGCCGAGCGAGCCGAATGTGAGTTCGGCACAAATCGGACTATTATAGTGCCGTAGACCTTCAGTTGTCGCTTTTTTTGGCTTGAGGTAGATTCAAGTTATGCGAGTACGAAACCAACCAATGCCGAGCGAACCGCAGGTGAGTTCGGCACAAAACAGACTGCTGTCGAGTTTCAGTGTCAATAGAACAGTGCCTATTTTGTGCCTGCGGCTCGCTCGACAATAACGCCTTTTTTTGGTTTGAGGTAGATTCATGTTATGCGAGTACGAAACCGATCACAACAAATCGAAGTACTATAGTGCCGTCAACCTTCAGTTTCAAGAACTGTGTCTATTTTGTGCCTATACTATAGTGCCGTAGACCTTCAGTTTAAAAAACGGAGCCTATTTTGTACCGAACTTACGTGCGGATGGGTCGGCAATGACGCCTTTTTTTGGTTTGAGATAAATTCAAGTTATGCGAGTACGAAACCAATCAATGCCGAGCGAGCCGAAGGGGAGTTCGGCACAAATCAGACTACTATAATGCTCTGGAGTTTCCGTTTCAAGAACAGTGTCTATTTTGTGTCTGCGGCTCGCTCAGCAATGACGTTTAATGAACCGGGCCTATTTTGTACCGGCCTCGTCTTCGTATCTTTCCGTAATGACATCTTTGCAGGTGCGTTTCAGTGCCGCCAAGTTTGAGTTTCAAGAACTGACCCTATTTTGTACCGAACTCGCCTGCGGCTCGCTCGGCAGTGACACCTTTTTTTAGTTTAGCGGTACATTCAAGTCGAGATGCAAGTTAAATGAGTACCAACGACTCGCTCGGCACAAATCAGATAGTGCCATCGAGCTTCAGTTTCATGAACTGGGCCTATTTTGTACCGAACTCTCCTTTGACACCTTTTTTTGGTTGGGGGGTGCATTCCAGTTAAATAAGTATCAAACCATTCAATGCTGAACGAGCCGAAGATTTGTTCAGCACTAATCAGATAGTGCCGCCGAGCTTCAGTTTCAAGAACTGGGCCTATTTTGGGGCGAACTCGCTTTCTTTCTTTTTTTGGTTGGATGTGCATTTCGGTTAAATAAGTCGCAAACCATCCAATGTCGAGCGAGCCGAAGGTGAGTTCGGCACAAAGCACAATACTATAGTGCCGCCGTGCTTCAGTTTCAATAATTGGTCCTATTTTCTGCCGAACTCGCCTGCGGTTCGTTCGGCAGTGTCATCTTATTTTGTTCAGAGGTACATTCAAGTTCAGATTCAAGTTAAATGAGTACCGACGACTCGCTCGGCACAAATCAGATAGTGCCGTCGAGCTTGTTTCAAGACCTGGTCCTATTTTGCGCCGAACTCGTCTGCGGCTCGCTCGACAGTGACACCTTTTTTCGTTTAGAGGTACCTTCAAGTCGAGATTCAAGCGAAATGAGTGCCAACTACTTGCGCGGCACAAATCTGTTAGTGCCGCCGAGCTTCAGTTTCAATAACTGGTCCTGTTTTCTGCCGAACTCGTCTGCGGCTCGCTTGGCAGTGTCATCTTGTTCTGTTCAGAGGTACATTCAAGTCCTGATTCAAGCTAAATGAGTACCGACGACTCGCTCGGCACAAATCAGATAGTGCCGTCGAGTTTGTTTCAGGAACTGGTCCTCTTTTGGGCCGAACTCGTCTGAGGCTCGCTCGACAGTGACACCTTTTGTTGTTTAGAGGTACATTCAAGTCGAGATCCAAGCGAAATGAGTGCCAACTACTTGCGCGGCACAAATCTGTTAGTGCCGCCGAGCTTCAGTTTCAATAACTGGTCCTGTTTTCTGCCGAACTCGTCTGCGGCTCGCTTGGCAGTGTCAATACCATAGTGCCGGCCGAGTCTTCAGTGTCAGAACTGGCGCTATATTAATGACCCATTTGTTTTGGTTGGGGGTGCATTTCAGTTAAATAAGTACCAAACTATTCAATGGCCGAAGGTGTGTTGGGCACAAAATCACCTCGCAAATCAGCACTACTATAGTGCCGTCGGGAGCTTATTTTCCAGAAACAGAATAATTAGTTTAACTCTTCAATTCAAAAATTTCTCAAAAACCAAGAAACTCACAACTGTAAACATGAACATTATGGCTTTGACACCTTCAAAAACCTTTGAAAGATGGCAAGGGAACCGAAACCTGCATGCACCCAAATTTCATCAAAGTCGATTGCAGTGCGATTTTTAGTATTTTTGTTCACCAAAAAAGGCTAAATCGCTTTTTTGGGGGAGGGGGGCTTTCAACAGAACGTCTTGAAATTTGACAAATCGAAAGTTTATCAATTTATTGCAAGTAACAAAGATGCCCTAGTGGTGGACACGAAAACTCTTATAGCGGATTTTACGCCTCGGAGTTAAAAGCCCAAACTTCAAATTTTTGTGTACACTAAAATTGTAAATAAAAATCTAAAATTGTATAAAACGATTAATGTGTCCTTTGTGTTCGGAGAAGATGATCTAAAAAATTCTAGAAATTTCAAAGAATAGTTCTCAAGAACGCATTCTAAAACAAATCTAGAATTCTAAAAAAATTCGGAAAATATCTTAAAAAAATCGCTAGAAATTCGAAAAAATTCTAGAAAATTTAAGAATAGTTTTAAACAAATTCTAGAGCATTCTAAACAAATCTAGGAAATTCTAAAAATATTTTAAAATATTTAAAAAGTTAGAGAATTCTAGAGCATTCTAAACAATCTAGAAAATGCTAAAAATATTCTAAAATATTTAAAAAATTTTAGAAATTTGGAAAAAATTCAAAAATAGTTCTAAAAAAATTCTAGGACATTCTAAACAAATCTAGAAAATATCTAAAAAATTCTAGAAAATTCGAAAAAATTCTAGAAAATTTAAGAACAGTTTTAAACAAATTCTAGAGCATTCTAAACAAATCTAGGAAATTCTAAAAATATTTTAAAATATTTAAAATGTTTTAGAAAATTCTAGAGCATTCTAAACAAATCTAGAAAATATCTAAAAAATTCTAGAAAATTCGAAAAAATTTTAGAAAATTTGAGAATAGTTTCAAACAAATTCTAGAGAGCATTCTAAACAAATCTAGAAAATTCTAAAAATATTCTAAAATATTTAAGAAATTTTAGAAATTTGGAAAAAATTCAAAAATAGTTCGAAAAAAATTCTAGGAGATTCTAAACAAATCTAGAAAATATCTAAAAAAAATACTAGAAAATTCGAAAAAATTCTAGAAAATTTAAGAATAGTTTTAAACAAATTCTAGAGCATTCTAAACAAATCTAGGAAATTCTAAAAATATTTAAAAAGTTCTAGAACATTCTAGAGCATTCTAAACAAATCTAGAAAATTCTAAAAATATTCTAAAATATTTAAGAAATTTTAGAAATTTGGAAAAAATTCAAAAATAGTTCGAAAAAAATTCTAGGAGATTCTAAACAAATCTAGAAAATATCTAAAAAAAATACTAGAAAATTCGAAAAAATTCTAGAAAATTTAAGAATAGTTTTAAACAAATTCTAGAGCATTCTAAACAATTCTAGGAAATTCTAAAAATATTTTAAAATATTTTAGAAATTTGGAAAAAATTTAAAAATAGTTCTGAAAAAATTCTAGGACATTCTAAACAAATCTAGAAAATGTCTAAAATTTGAAAAATGTTTAGAAAATTCAAGAATAGAAACAAAAATTCTTGGGCATTTTAAACAAATTTAGAAAATTCTAAACGTATTCTAAAATATCAAAAAAAATCTAAAACATTCTCAAAAAATTCTAGCGCATTCTAAACCAATCTAGAAAATTCTAAAAATATTTTAAAAAAATTCGAAAACTTATAATTTTAATAAATAAGCCCTCGATCGGTCCCCCCACCCTCCGTCACGAGAGTTACCTACAATTTATGTTCCTTCTAAAGAAATTTTTGTGCTTGACATTTCCGAAATATGTTTCCATTGCGCAATTGAAATCGATCTATAGGATTCAGGCACAAAGTGCCCATTTGGAAAAATTAGTGTGACTTTTAGGCCGGTTAACCATTAGTCGACGTTTTTTGGCACTAACGGAAATTTTTAGTCCTTGAGTGTTTGGGTATGATGTATACAAAACAATAGGCAGCACTCGATGATAAGCTATCGTGCTGCTCGTTAGTAAAAGCCTATGCAATCGACGGTTATCAGCCAGTATCATGAATTTCCATGAACGGTAAACGACGACATTGGTACCTTCTATGCGTTCCCAGACAGCGACTTGTCGCTCCGTTCCGGCGTCTTATCTATTGCAAAATTTTCTTATCAAACTTGAAAAAACCACTTGCACTAACCCATCGCATCATTCTATTAGGTCTCTCCATAAATGCGCCCGACAACACAATGTTCATCAACAAGGGGAAGGACGACCAAATGGAAATTTGCGGTTACAAACCTAGCAAACTTCGTTTGGCGGTAACGTACCTTTTTATTGTGCTAACGTGCGGATTGCTACGGTTGCTCTTCCATTGGATTCCGCATTTGTACCTGCGCGCGACCTGCGTCCCGTGCCCCGTAAACGAAGCCGAACAGCTCCTGATAACGGTAAGCCCTTTCGAACCATTTCCGACCATAGTTATTTGGAAACATTTCAGGAGCTCTACAACGGAAAGCACAAGATCTACCATGTGAAACAGCTGCGCGTCTTGACGCCCGAAAGCGTCCGAAAGCTGAAGAGCGACGACAATCGGCTCAACCATCACAATCACTACGTGCCCCAGCTCGAGAACTCTCTGCTCTCGGTCCACTTCGGCGAGGGCATCTTCCGGGAGCTGGACAGGCTGCTGATATTTACGTGCAAGAAGGTCACGTATATTTGGAACCGCGAGGTGTCCGAGTTCGTGAAGCTGCGCGGTCTCGACCAGCACGTGCTCAGCGAGACGCTGCACAGAAGCAAAGGCCTGAGCATCGGGGAGCAGTTCATGCGCAGGTTGGTCTACGGGTCGAACGAGATTACGGTCAAGGAGCTGCCGGTGGTCACGCTGCTTTTCCTGGAGGTCCTGAATCCGTTCTACATCTTCCAGCTTTTCAGTTTTTGCCTTTGGTTCGCCGACAGCTACTACTACTACGCCGCCGCCATCATGATCATGTCGGTGTTCGGCATCACGATGACCGTGATACAGACGCGACGGGTGGGTTAATCCCTTCGCGCGGTTGCCATTTTAATTGCGTCCCGGTTTTTTTAGAATCAGCGCAACCTGAAGTCGACGGTTCACAGCTCGGACGTCATCAGCGTCGTGCGCTCAAAGCCGAAGAGCGCCCTGGACGATCACGCGGAGAACGACGAGGTCGTCACCGAGGTCATTTCGACCGAGCTGCTGGTGCCGGGCGATGTCATCGAAATACCGCCGCACGGTTGCATTTTGCACTGCGACGCCGTTTTGTTGACCGGAAACTGCATCCTGAACGAATCTATGCTCACAGGTAATTCCATTGTTCGCCAACATGAGGGGGCGTTCGTTAGCGCAAAAGGCATACATCTAAATTTACGTCCACAGTTCTCTCGATTCCCGCTTTCAGCACCCAGTTTCTAGTTACCGCTTCCAAGAAGATTCCAGATTGTAACTTTCAGTGTTCAGTTCACACTTCCCAAATCCGTTTCCAGGTTCCAGCTTCCAGATTTTACCTCACCGCAACTTTCCCGGTTCCCTATTCCCGCGTCCAGCACCCAGTTTCTAGTTACCAGCTTCCAAAGAGCTTTCAGATTGTAACTTTCCGTGTTCAGTTCACAATTTCTAACTCCCTGTCCAGGTTCCTGCTTCCAGCACCCAGTTTTTAGTACCCGCTTCCATAGAGCTTCCAGATTCTAACTTCGAGTGTTCATTTTTGAGCGTTCAGTTCACAGTTCTCAACTTCGTTTCCAGATTCCAGCTTCCAGATTCTATCGCGCAATGTCCGGTTTCACTTTCCTGCTTCCAGCACCCAGTTTCTAGTTCCCGCTTCCAAAGAGTTTCCAGATGCTAACGTCTAGTGTTCATTTTTGAGCGTTTAATTCACAGTTCTCAACTTCGTTTCCCGGTTCCAGCTTCCAGATTCTATCGCGCAATGTCCGGTTTCACTTTCCTGCTTCCAGCGCCCATGTTCTAGTACCCGCTTCCAAAGAGCTTCCAGATTCTAACTTCTAGTGTTCATTTTTGAGCGTTTAATTCACAGTTCTCAACTTCGTTTCCAGGTTCCAGCTTCCAGATTCTATCGCCTATGTCCGGTTTCACTTTTCTGCTCCCAGCACCCAGTTTCTAGTACCCGCTTCCAAAGAGCTTCCAGATTCTAACTTCTAGTGTTCATTTTTGAGCGTTCAGTTCACAGTTCTCAACTTCGTTTCCAGGTTCCAGCTTCCAGATGCTGTCGCGCTATGTCCGGTTTCACTTTCCTGCTTCCAGCACCCAGTTTCTAGTACCCGCTTCCAAAGAGCTTCCAGATTCTAACTTCTAGTGTTCATTTTTGAGCGTTTAGTTCACAGTTCTCAACTTCGTTTCCAGGTTCCAGCTTCCAGATTCTATCGCACTATGCCCGGTTTCACTTTTCTGCTCCCAGCACCCAGTTTCTAGTACCCGCTTCCAAAGAGCTTCCAGATTCTAACTTCTAGTGTTCATTTTTGAGCGTTTAATTCACAGTTCTCAACTTCGTTTCCAGGTTCCAGCTTCCAGATTCTATCGCGCTATGTCCGGTTTCACTTTCCTGCTTCCAGCACCCAGTTTCTAGTACCCGCTTCCAAAGAGCTTCCAGATTCTCACTTCCAGTGTTCATTTTTGAGCGTTCAGTTCACAGTTCTCAACTTCGTTTCCAGGTTCCAGCTTCCAGATTCTATCGCGCTATGTCCGGTTTCACTTTCCTGCTTCCCGCACCCAGTTTCTAGTACCCGCTTCCAAAGAGCTTTCAGATTCTAACTTCCAGTGTTCATTTTTGAGCGTTCAGTTCGCAGTTCTCAACTTCGTTTCCAGGTTCCAGCTTTCAGATTCTATCGCGCTATGTCCGGTTTCACTTTCCTGCTCCCAGCACCCAGTTCCTAGTACCCGCTTCCAAAGAGCTTCCAGATTCTAACTTCTAGTGTTCATTTTTGAGCGTTCAGTTCACAGTTCTCAACTTCGTTTCCAGGTTCCAGATTCTATCGCGCTATGTCCGGTTTCACTTTCCTGCTTCCAGCACCCAGTTTCTAGTACCCGCTTCCAAAGAGCTTCCAGATTCTAACTTCCAGTGTTCATTTTTGAGCGTTCAGTTCACAGTTCTCAACTTCGTTCCCAGGTTCCAGCTTCCAGATTCTATCGCACTATGTCCGGTTTCACTTTCCTGCTTCCAGCACCCAGTTTCTAGTACCCGCTTCCAAAGAGCTTCCAGATTCTAACTTCCAGTGTTCATTTTTGAGCGTTCAGTTCACAGTTCTCAACTTCGTTTCCAGGTTCCAGCTTTCAGATTCTATCGCGCTATGTCCGCTTTCACTTTCCTGCTTCCAGCACCCAGTTTCTAGTACCCGCTTCCAAAGAGCTTCCAGATTCTAACTTCCAGTGTTCATTTTTGAGCGTTCAGTTCACAGTTCTCAACTTCGTTTCCAGGTTCCAGCTTCCAGATTCTATCGCGCTATGTCCGCTTTCACTTTCCTGCTTCCAGCACCCAGTTTCTAGTACCCGCTTCCAAAGAGCTTCCAGATTCTAACTTCCAGTGTTCATTTTTGAGCGTTCAGTTCACAGTTCTCAACTTCGTTTCCAGGTTCCAGCTTCCAGATTCTATCGCGCTATGTCCGCTTTCACTTTCCTGCTTCCAGCACCCAGTTTCTAGTACCCGCTTCCAAAGAGCTTCCAGATTCTCACTTCCAGTGTTCATTTTTGAGCGTTCAGTTCACAGTTCTCAACTTCGTTTCCAGGTTCCAGCTTCCAGATTCTATCGCGCTATGTCCGGTTTCACTTTCCTGCTTCCCGCACCCAGTTTCTAGTTCCCGCTTCCAAAGAGCTTCCAGATTCTAACTTCTAGTATTCATTTTTGAGCGTTCAGTTCACGGTTCTCAACTTCCTTTCCAGGTTTCAGCTTCCAGATTCTATCGCGCTATGTCCGGTTTCACTTTTCTGCTTCCAGCACCCAGTTTCTAGTACCCGCTTCCAAAGAGCTTCCAGATTCTAATTTCTAGTGTTCATTCTTGAGCGTTCAGTTCACAGTTCTCAACTTCGTTTCCAGTTCCAGCTTCCAGATTCTATCGCGCTATGTCCGCTTTCACTTTCCTGCTTCCAGCACCCAGTTTCTAGTACCCGCTTCCAAAGAGCTTCCAGATTCTAACTTCCAGTGTTCATTTTTGAGCGTTCAGTTCACAGTTCTCAACTTCGTTTCCAGGTTCCAGCTTCCAGATTCTATCGCGCAATGTCCGGTTTCAATTTCCTTCTTCCAGCACCCAGTTTCTAGTACCCGCTTCCAAAGAGCTTCCAGATTCTAACTTCTAGTGTTCATTTTTGAGCGTTTAATTCACATTTCTCAACTTCGTTTCCAGGTTCCAGCTTCCAGATTCTATCGCGCTATGTCCGGTTTCACTTTCCTACTTCCAGCACCCAGTTTCTAGTACCCGCTTCCAAAGAGCTTCCAGATTCTAACTTCTAGTGTTCATTTTTGAGCGTTTAATTCACAGTTCTCAACTTCGTTTCCAGGTTCCAGCTTCCAGATGCTATCGCGCTATGTTCGGTTTCACTTTCCTGCTCCCAGCACCCAGTTTCTAGTACCCGCTTCCAAAGAGCTTCCAGATTCTAACTTCCAGTGTTCATTTTTGAGCGTTCAGTTCACAGTTCTCAACTTCGTTCCAGGTTCCAGCTTCCAGATTCTTCGCGCTATGTCCGGTTTCCCTTTCCTGCTTCCAGCACCCAGTTTTTAGTACCCGCTTCCAAAGAGCTTCCAGATTCTAACTTCTAGTGTTCATTTTTGAGCGTTTAGTTCTCAATTTCCAATTTCGTTTCCAGGTTCCCGCTTCCAGATTCTACCACACTAGGTCCGCAGTTCCTACGGTGCCACGTTCTTGCTTCCAGCACCTAGTTTTTAATTATCCGCTTCCAAAGAGCTTCTGGATTCCAACTTTCCGTGTTCAGTTCACAGTTCCCAACGTTTCCAGGTTCCAGTTTCCGTAACCCATCGTGCCCAGTTTGATTTCCTATTGCTAATATTTCGTTTCCCTTTCCTAGTGTCCTGCATACGAAGCGCTTGAATGTATCCCTCACATCCGACGATGAAGTGCGCGCTTGCGCAGAACGGTCTTGCTTTTCCAAACCGATTTACACGCGGTAACGGAAAACCGAAAACGTACGCGCCTGTAACAAACATTTTTGTTTCAGGCGAGAGCGTCCCCGTCACCAAAACCCCTCTGCCCGACCTTCCGAATTTGTACTACAATTCCAAGGAGCATGCCCGCCACACGTTATTTTGCGGCACGCAGGTGATTCAAACCAGATACTTCGGCAACGAGAAGGTCTTAGCGGTCGTGATACGTACCGGCTTTTGCACGGCCAAGGGGGGGCTGGTAAGGAGCATTCTTTACCCCCCACCCGTCGATTTTCGATTCGAGAACGACTCGTATCGCTTCATTATGCTTTTGGCCGCAATTGCAGGCGTAGGTTTCGTTTACACCATCGTCACTAAGGTAAGTCCGCGCATGCGCCGCGCTCCCCAGTGAAACTCCATGTTTAGATTCTGAGAGGAATACCCGCCGCGGATTTGGTGTTGGAAGCCTTAGACTTGATTACGATCGTCGTACCGCCGGCTCTCCCGGCCGCGATGACCGTTGGACGTCTGTACGCGCAGACTCGGCTCAGGAAGAACCAAATTTTTTGCATATCTCCTCGCACGATAAACGTGTCGGGTTCGATCGACTGCATCTGCTTCGATAAGACCGGCACTTTGACCGAAGACGGATTGGATTTGCTTTGCATCGTCCCGGTTGACAAACAGAATTTTCTGCCATCCGTTAAGAACGTCGAAAGCTTGCCTTATAATACGTTCGTGTGCGGGCTGGTCTCCTGTCACTCTCTGACGATAATTGATAAGCAAGTAACTGGGGATCCGTTAGATTTAAAGGTAAAAGTTCCCTAAAAATTGTAAGAAGCCTAAATTAACTACCGCTTGCAGATGTTCGAGAGCACGAAGTGGTCAATCGAAGAGCACGACGTCTCTGACAACACAAAATTCAACATGATATTCCCGACCGTTTTGAAGCCGCCGAAAAATCGACCGCCCGAAAACCGAATAATCGAGGACATCGACCTTCAGATCGGCATAATTCGCGAGTTTCCGTTCTCGAGCAGCTCGCAGCGCATGGGCGTGATCGTGCGCAAGCTCGGCGCGCAGAACTTCGAGTACTACTGCAAGGGCTCGCCGGAGATGATCGTCACGTTCGTGCGCAAGGAGACGATTCCGAGCGACTTCTACGACGTCCTCGAGACGTACACGCAGGAGGGGTACCGCGTCATCGCGATGGCGCACAAGGAGCTGAAGATGTCGTACGCGAAGGTGCAGCGAGCGCAACGGGACGTCATCGAAACGGACCTCACCCTCTTGGGCCTCATCGTGCTGGAAAATCGCCTGAAGCCCCAGACGATTCCGTGCATTCGGAATCTGAACGACGCGAATATTCGCGTGATTATGGTCACAGGCGACAACATCCTCACGGCGCTGAGCGTCGCGAGGGATTGCGACATCGTAACTCCCGGCCAAAGCGTCATCACGATCAACTGCGACAACAGCACGCCGCCTCAGCTCTCCTACACACTCTCGAACACCAAACGCAAAACCTCACTGCCCGTCGACTACAGCCTCCTGTCGAACTCGGCGAGCATACAGAGCTTGGACACGTTAGAATCGCAGACCGTTACCAACAACATGAGCCGCACCGAGGTCAACAAGCTCAAGCCGAAGTCGCTGTACAACAACTATCGCTTCACCATGAGCGGAAAGGTCTGGGGTGTCATTCGGGATTACTATCCCGAGCTCATTCCGAGATTGGTCACCAGAGGGAGTATTTTCGCCAGGATGTCGCCCGATCAAAAGCAGCAGCTGATCGAGGAACTGCAGAGTATGGGGTATTGCGTTGGTAAGTTCCAAGATTCCTCTGTTTTACTACCGCAATGCTAATCCTTTCGTAGCGAAAAAAAAAATTAGAGATGCCTACCCTGTTCCCACTGTAATGCCAATTTTGGACAAATTTAAAAGGATTCTTGCCTATCCTAAACTGAGTCCTAAACATTCGATAAACTTGCATGAACAGAATGTTTCCAATCTTTTTTGTACCTGTCAATTTTGTGGAAACCTGAATTGCGAAGATGCCTACCCTCTACCTATGTTAAATGTATAGTTGGACAAATATCAGTCTTCCGCAGCATTTTTTTTAACGCCGCACAATTGTTGGCGCCTTTAAGGCGTTGAGGAATTTGCCATGTCGCCGGCTTTTATTTCTGCGGCGCATAGTGGGCGCAGTACACGTGTGAAGGTTAACGGTTGTAAATCTAATTTTTTTTGTAATTTGTATAATTGCCGCACAAAAGTATTCCAATCGCGCATATTTTGCGCTGGATTGTTAAAAGAAATAACTTGAATTTTCTGTGATCTTTTCATAAGGGAGCCCACCGGCGCATAATTGGCGCTTAATTCGAATTTTGTTTAGTGCCGTAGACAAGAAATTGACAAATTTAGCTCGTAATGAGCTTTGTGACATTAGGGCGCAAATGTTTGCTTGATCGTCGAAGTTGACCCTGTCAGGTAAGTCAATATTTTTAACAGGCGCACAGTTTGCGCTCAATTTTCACCCATAGTGTCATCATGATCATCTAACGGCGCACAATTGGCGGTAAATTCAGAGAAACGAAATATTCTACCATTAGCGCATAATTTGTCGCTCAAGCCGCCTTTTTTTATTATTCTGCAGCTGCTCATAATTAGTGCCCTATGCGATGTAGTGGTTTTTTATCTTTTTGACTAAAATTTACCGAATAGATCAATCCATTAACAGCGCATAGTTTATCCCTCAAGTCAATTTAATCAGAGCGATTAATTTTTTGTTAAAGCGGCGCATAATTAGCGCCCTATTTAATAAGTCGATGGAAGTTTTGGCTTGATGATGCAAATTCTACGTTTTGACAGCGCATAATTTGTCACCCAAGTCGATTTTAATTTGGGACGATTCCTTTTTTGTTTAGCAGCGCATAATTAACGTCCTATTCTATAGTCGATGGAGTACTTTTTGTCTTTCCGACTCAAATTGTACGTTCTAACAGCGTATAATTGGCGTCAAAATTATAGAATAGTACAATCTATGACAAGCGCATAGTTTATCCCTAAAGACGATTTTCTTCTGAGGCGATTACTTTTTTTTTTGTTTCTCTACGATTGTAAATTGACTAGAGGTTCATGGCATGAACTAAATTGTGGTTCTTCTTTTTTGACGCACATTGCATATTCGCGCATAATCGCGCATAAAAATATTTTAGCAGCGCATAATTAGCGTTTTATGCGACCATGAGAATTTTTTAGGTAGCAGCGCTTTATTAGCCTTTTATGCGACCTTAAGAATTTTTTAATTACGTGGACGAAATCTTTACTACTGATACTATTTGCGCATAAAAATTGTTTAGCAGCGGATAATTAGCGGTTTATGCGACCATGAGACTTTTTAGGTAGCAGTGCTTAATTAGCCTTTTTTGCGACCTTAAGAATTTTTAATTAAGATGACGAAATCTTCGCTACTGATACCATTCGCGCATAAAAATTGTTTAGCAGCGCTTAATTAGCGTTTTCTGCGGCCCTGTGAATTTTTTACATAGCAGCGCTTAATTAGCCTTTTATGCGGCCTTAAGAATTTTTTAATTAAGTGGATGAAATCTTTGGTACTGATACTATTGGCACTTAAAAATTGTTTAGCAGCGCATAATTAGCGGTTTATGCGACCATGAGATTTTTTTAGGGAGCAGCGCTTAATTAGCCTTTTATGCATCCTTAAGAATTTTTAATTAAGATGACGAAATCTTCGCTACTGATACCATTCGCGCGTAAAAATTGTTTAGCAGCGCTTAATTAGCGTTTTATGCGACCATGAGACTTTTTTAGGGAGCAGCGCTTAATTGGCCTTTAAGCGGCCTTAAGAATTTTTTAATTAAGTGGACGAAATCTTTGCTACTGAGACCATTCGCGCCTAAAAATCGTTTAGCAGCGCATAATTAGCGTTTTATGCGACCATGAGACTTTTTTAGTCAGGTGGAGGAATTTTTACAACTGATAATCCCTCATAAACATTATTGAGCAGCGCTTAATTACCATTGTAAGTCAAGTGGACGAAATCTTTTGCTACTGAGATCATTCGCGCATAAAAATTGTTTAGCAGCGCATAATTAGCGTTTTATGCGACCATGAGACTTTTTTAGGTAGCAGCACTTAATTAGCCTTTTTTGCGACCTTAAGAATTTTTAATTAACATGACGAAATCTTCGCTACTGATACCATTCGCGCATAAAAATCGTTTAGCAGCGCATAATTAGCGTTTTCTGCGACCATGAGACTTTTTTAGTCAAGTGGACGAATTTTTACGACTGATAACAATCGCTCATAAACATTGTAACATTGTAAGTCACGTGGGCGAAATCTTTGCTACTGAGACCATTCGCGCTTAAAAATTGTTTAGCAGCGCTTAATTAGCGGTTTATGCGACCATGAGACTGTTTTAGGTAGCGCTTAATTAGCCTTTAAGCGACCATAAGAATTTTTTAATTAAGTGGACGAAATCTTTGGTACTGGTACCTTTCGCGCTTAAAAATTGTTTAGCAGCGCTTAATTAGCGGTTTATGCGACCATGAGACTGTTTTAGGTAGCGCTTAATTAGCCTTTAAGCGACCATAAGAATTTTTTAATTAAGTGGACGAAATCTTTGGTACTGGTACCTTTCGCGCTTAAAAATTGTTTAGCAGCGCTTAATTAGCGGTTTATGCGACCATGAGACTGTTTTAGGTAGCGCTTAATTAGCCTTTAAGCGACCATAAGAATTTTTTAATTAAGTGGACGAAATCTTTGGTACTGGTACTTTTCGCGCTTAAAAATTGTTTAGCAGCGCTTAATTAGCGTTTTCTGCGACCATGAGACTTTTAGGTAGCAGCGCTTAATTATCTCATTATGCGACCTTAAGAATTTTTTAATTAAGTGGACGAAATCTTTGGTACTGATACCATTCGCGCATAAAAATTGTTTAGCAGTGCTTAATTAGCGTTTTATGCGACCAAGAGACTTTTTAGGTAGCAGCGCTTAATTATCCTTTAAGCGACCTTAAGAATTTTTTAATTAAGTGGACGAAATCTTTGCTACAGAGACCATTCGCGCCTAAAAATCGATTAGCAGCGCATAATTAGCGTTTTATGCGACCATGAGACTTTTTTAGTCAGGTGGAGGAATTTTTACAACTGATAATCCCTCATAAACATTATTGAGCAGCGCTTAATTACCATTGTAAGTCAAGTGGACGAAATCTTTTGCTACTGAGATCATTCGCGCATAAAAATTGTTTAGCAGCGCATAATTAGCGTTTTATGCGACCATGAGACTTTTTTAGGTAGCAGCGCTTAATTAGCCTTTAAGCGACCTTAAGAATTTTGAATTAACATGACGAAATCTTCGCTACTGATGCCATTCGCGCATAAAAATCGTTTAGCAGCGCATAATTAGCGTTTTCTGCGACCATGAGACTTTTTAGTCAAGTGGACGAATTTTTACGACTGATAACAATCGCTCATAAACATTATTTAGCAGCGCTTAATTACCGTTGTAAGTCACGTGGGCGAAATCTTTGCTACTGAGACCATTCGCGCATAAAAATTGTTTAGCAGCGCTTAATTAGCGTTTTATGCGACCAAGAGACTTTTTAGGTAGCAGCGCTTAATTATCCTTTAAGCGACCTTAAGAATTTTTTAATTAAGTGGACGAAATCTTTGCTACTGACACCATTCGCGCCTAAAAATTGTTTAGCAGCGCTTAATTAGCGTTTTCTGCGACCATGAGACTTTTTTAGTCAAGTGGACGAATTTTTACAACTGATAACAATCGCTCATAAACATTATTTAGCAGCGCTTAATTACCGTTGTAAGTCACGTGGGCGAAATCTTTGCTACTGAGACCATTCGCGC